GGGGGCCGGCAGTGGAAGACAGCGCAGGATGAGCTAGGAGGGGTGTCAGCTAGACCAGACTCCCCTCCAGGTGGCTGAAGACGTAGAAGGGGATATTTGGCTCAGATCACTGAAGAGGCCCAGCCCCAAACTCTGTCTCTTTTTTCATTCTGAGGCAGGCAGAATGGGTGCCGGCACTTTTAGACTTGCTCCCACCGACCAGGGTTGAGTTAGTGTCCTCAGCCACTGCCCCCCAAGGAGGTAGGGTCAGCCCACTTGGGCCATGTGACCTGAGAATGGGGGAGGGCCAGTCCCCAAGAGGAAGAGATGGCTCCTGAGGCTTGGAGAAGGGGCAGCAGGTGCCAGGGCAGCCAAACCCGGAGGCGTGTCGTCAGTGTACCCACAAGGCCCCTGGCGGCCAGGAGCTGGGCCGAGGCGTACCAGTCACTCCACAACTGGTTGGGGTCTGCTGTTGCTCATCTATCCTGGAATTTTAACAGGACGCAGCACGGGATGTAACACACAATGTGCATGTAGGTGTTTCTTCTCCCCGTGAGATGGGTCTCAGCTTTTTGGTGTCCCGCCCCAATCTCTGGGACTTCCTGGGCTCCACGTGGCAGGGCCAACCTTTGGGGGACGGGGGCACACAGAGAATCCCACACTAGAGACAGGCCACCTCTGTCCATATCCCTTCCCCCCAAACTTTAGGGCTTCCTGTAGGGAAGCGCCTGGAATGACAGAGTCATTCACGCACTCATCCAGCACTTATTAAGCACCTTGTGTATGTCAGGCGCCCGTTTGTGGCCCCAAGGGGACAGCTGTGAACAAGGCAGCAGTGGCTGCCCTTGAGGACCTTATGTTCTAGTAGGGAGCAGAGAGTAAACAGGTAAACAAACGAGCAAAACAAGACCATTTTAGAGGAAGCGTACTAAAGAAAATGAAGTGGGCTGGTGTCAGAGAGGGAGGAGGCCACTCTTAATGGGGTGGCCAGGGAAAGTTTCACCGACAGGGTGGCCTTTGAAAGCTGAGGTCTGAATGAGTCAGTCATGAAGAAGCCATGGGGAGAACTTGGGAAAAGGCAACAGCAAATGCAAAGGTCCTGAGGTGGAAAGCAGCTTGACATCAGGGCACAGAGGAAAGTGGTATGGCTAGAGCAGAGCAAGTGAGTGGAGGACAAGTTAAGAGGTGAGGGGGAGGCAGGCGGGACCAGGTTTTGCAGGGCCTTGTAGGGCAGATCAAGGAGTTTGGAATGTTTACCAGGGAAACATTGACGGGAAGCTGTTGGGGGTTTTAAGCAGGTGGGTGGCATGACCCCACTGACCCTCTCCACAGCTCCCTCTGGCTGCCACGGGGAGAATGGACTGTGGGGGACCAGAGTAGAAGCGAGGGGCCCAGTGGGAAATCCTTGCAGCGATGCAGGTGGGAGATGAGGGTGATGATGGGGGTCTGGGATGCTATTTTATACGGATAGGATAGATGAAGGATGACTCCTAGGATTTGGGCTTCAGCAATCAGATGGTGGTGAGGGAGCTTCCTGAGTTGGGGAAGACAGGGGAGGCACAGTATGATTTGGAGGGCTGGAGTAGGGATCCAGGAGTTTCCCTTTGGACACAGCAGGGTATAAAGAGTCTATTAATCATCCAAGTGGAGACATCAGATA